GTATAATCTAACTTATTCTTTAGAAACAAATCTTTGATTTTATGAATGCTTATGGACAGAGACTCTTTCTGTGCTTTTAGTGGCCTATGGCTCCTGGTTTAAGCACGTTAAGAGCTGGTGGAAGAAAAAAGAAGAACACCCAATACTTTTCTTACACTATGAAGATATAAAAGAGGTAAAATGATAGAAATTTGTTATAAATAATGTCCCACTACATCCTGGGGTAAAAGGATGAATATAACATTTTCAAGTTAACCTGTGAAGCCCAAAATGATATGATTGCTTTCCCTATTCTTCATGCCTGCTTACCCAGATCTCGTTAAGGTCATTAATAATGTTCTAATTGTGAAAGCTATGACATTTTTGTCCCTCATATTTTTTTAACCATTGTGTTTACTTTGCGCAGCTTTCCTTTCTCAAATTTTCTTCTTCATTTAACAGGTTATCAGACTGGTGGTTTTCCAGTGGATCTCTCTGTATCACTTAGCTGTTTTTCTTTTTCAGCTGCTTAGTGTATTTTGGTGCTCATTCCAGGCCCACTGTTGCCAAAACTATGTATGTGCTAATGGTCCTTCAAAATGCTTTTTTTCACTTCTACCCTGAATTCAAACCTGTGCTTTTATTAAAATGACTCTCAAATTTAATGTGTTCAAAACTAATCTCATCTTGCTTCTTTCTCTTCAACATGTCATTCTCTTCTTGGTTTATTCTCTCTTTTGGTTAATGATGTTATATGTACATTCAGGTTTCAAAGCTTTAGAGTATGTTGTCCTCATTGTCTTCCATATAGTGGATCTAGTTCAACTGTGTCTTGAACATCCCATTGGTTCACATGCCCTATCTAATATATACGTCTATATCTAACATGCCCTATATCCTTCAACTGTGCCCCAATCTTTATTTTATTATTACTTCCTCCTAGACAGGGACTCATAAGCATTCATCTATCCTCCTGTATGAACTAGAATTTCTTCAAATCTCACTGCAAAGTTCCAGGACTATTCTGGAGCTATTTTACTCAAATTAGGCAAACATGCATGCACACATGGCAAATATGTTTAATTCAAGTTACATTAGTTCTAAAAGCCTGAGTATACAAATGAAGATTTTTTTTAGACTTTCAGATTCATGATGGAAGGTACCATATGTACCATTCTTGTGACTGCATCTGCAGTTCCTAATACAGCACCTACCCCATAAATAAAGACTCAATGGTCATTTGTTGTATGAATAACTGATCCATTGAATGAGTGAAAAAATGAGTAATAGCAAAAGATGTAGTGACAATTCTACTTTGCATACCAGAAATCATGTCATAGGTAAAGTATCCTTTGTTCCCAAGTATTTCCAAGACACCTACAGATTATATATCTCATCTTATTAAAGAGTTGTCTGTTTTCCTGCTCTGCATGTGCTCCCACCTTCTATCACATTTGTTTGTAGCCCACTGATAACTTATGGTGGAAATCTACCAGTGCTTGAAGCAATTAATGCCAATTTGCTGGCATACAGAGCTGCACCACTAAAGTGGTTTTTATTAATCAGATTAAATTATGAGCACTTTTATAAGAGAGATCATTGTTCTTCTGTACTAAGTATCTCTCTTTCTTTCTGAACACATGAGTAGTACTTAACAGGCTTGTGAAAGGAGCAATTTTAGCTTCTTAATGTAGTCTCTTTTCTCCACAGAATGGAGAAATACATTTCCTGGGCTGGGCTGGTACCCAACCTTTGACTCACATGCTGTCTCCCACATGATGTTCTCATGTCAACCTTTTCTCATTCTGTAGCTAAACTGCTTTATTCAAATCAACTCATTTATATTAATTTACAGTCTGCCCTGATCAGCTTTATAAGCATACCCAAATACTTTGAGCCCCACTCAGATTTCCTCTATGGGTCATAATTAAAAGCCAGTGTTTTTCTACTCCAATACAGACATTCTTAAACAATGTTATGTAAAGATGCTTAATAGAACAACAATAGAGCAAAAGTATAATAATATATCAAGAAAAAATTCATAGAGAAGTCCAACAATTTACATCAGGTTGATAAGTTTCTGTATAAATTCTCAGTCAACGAGGTGAAAGATCAAGGCAGCAGAGGAAGATTCAATAGGAGCCAACACTCTCAACTTGAACTATTACTGGTTTATAAACTGACATCAGCAGTCATGCTTTGGCTGTGGCTAAATTATTCTCCAAACACTTTGAATCACTAACAGAAATTGCTATTTACCCACCCATCTGTGTTTTCCTAGTGTTACTAACTTCTCTTTTGTTTTTTTGCCACTATCATGATTTTTGACATGGCACTCATTCTAAGTATTGCCACCTCTTAATTAGACATCTCATTCTTCTCTCATTGAGGCCTCACACATAAAATATCACCATAACTTCCCTTCTAGGGAACTCCCTGCCAAAACAGTCACATGTGTACATGCACACACACACACATGCACAGAGATAATAAGAAACATTATTCAAAACTGTTGCTTCACTTCGTTATTACAGATACAAATACTTCCACAGGACATCCAAGGATGTTCTCAGTTAAAACCCAATTTATCTTTCTAGTTTTATACCTACCTTACTCCTGTGATCACATCAGATCTGACTCTAACCATTATGCTTTTTTCTCCCTGGAACATATTATGAGACACTAATACCTCTAAGACTTTTAACTGTTTTCATTATTGGATATTCACTGTTTGGTGACACAAAAGACCACACATCTTGGTAAATTCTGACTCATCTTTTTTTTTAACTCAGCTTAGTTATCAGCTTTCCAAAATCTTTTGAATTTATTCTTGCAGATTTTAGTTTGGCTTCCTAAAAAGTTACAAATATTGTTTATGTCATTAAAATCTGGAAAATGATCCATTTCTCAAATTTGGCTCTTTTTATTCTCAGTGGTTGATAAATAATTTAGGTCTCAATATCTTTGCACATTTATTAGAGTTTATTTTCAATAACTGGTCTCTAGCAAGTTTTAATCAGTATTTATACTTTAAGGAAATATACTTGAAGTTGTCCATGAACATATTAGTTTTGCTTTTAAATATTGTTGCTAAAAACAAGAAAACATATTTGATCAAAAGCAGAAAAAGAAGTGAAATGCAAAAAACAAATTGGTTTGCTAAGTCATGCACAGCTCAAATCTGATTACAAATGAGTTTAAAATAGCACTTCAGGTTTTTTCTTTAAGTATTGCTTATATTTAACCCAAAGTTTGTTCATATTGTATCTTAAATGTAAAAACATAACATGTATAACAAACAAAGTATCTCTGCTCTATTTTTCTTAAACATAAATTATGTTTTCATTTTTAATAATATTTTAAAAAATTTTTGAGACCCAACCACATACGGATTTAGTATTCAGATAAACATTTAAGAAAGCAGATTATAAATATCATATTCTTTTTACATTATCTTTGTCATTTTCTTGGATGTCTCTACCCACTACTAGAATCCAAAGCAAGAAATCAAGAAGATTGCTGCATTTCTAGAGAAAAGCTTAAATGATGAGATCCTGGATGAGATCGTCCATCACACCTCATTTGGAATGATGAAGGATAACCCTCTGGTGAATTATAAACATATTCCAAATACAGTGATGGATCACAGCATATCCCCTTTCATGCGCAAAGGTGACAATTTTTCTGAGTTTATTTTCCCTTTTTATTTTCTTAGACATTACTCTGAAATGAGGATTCACTTTGTGATCTCTACCAAAGTACTTAGACATTTGGGGTGTCAATTCCCTCAACTATAAAATAACAACACTGAAAATACTAACCACAAAAAACTGCCACATCCAATTAGAAATTGTTAAAGGAAATGATGCATGTAAACCTACTGTTAAAATACCTTGAATATTTCATAGATATTTCTTCCCTTATTTACTAGGTGGTCTTGTCAATTCTGATATGAGTCATTCCAAATTTGTTGTATGCAAATCCTCAATCTTTGTCTAAATTGACATAAGGATCTTTCTCTTCATGATAAATTAGTGTCAGTCAGTACAGTACTGTATTACTTTTCAAGATTTTATCTATTTGCAGAGAGTGAAGAAAGAAAGGAGAAAGAGGGAGAGAAACATTTATGTGTGAGAAAACAGTTTATCAATTGCCTCTCACACACCTGCCACCTAGTCATGTGCCCAGACTGGGAATTGAACCTGCCGCCTTTTTGGTTTGCAAGATGACACCGAACTCACTGAGTCAGATCAGTCCAGGAAAAAGTAGCATATTCTCTAAAGACCCCATATCACTTAGAAAACAGGGGTCATTTTGTTTAAAAGGAGTCATCAAGATAAAGAACCTTATTTCACCTTATAGAAAGTTTTTATTATGTAAACATAATAAATGAATTATTATGAATTCCAGAAAACATGGAATGTAAATTTAAGTTGTGAAGATGACAACACAGGAAGATGCTATTCATTGTTGAAATAGGGCATTACTTCCATTGTGGCTGGTTGTGTATGATTTGCATCAAAGTGTTTTATTAATGGTAAACAGAATGCATTTAACAAATTACTAACTTAAATTTGAGACATTACCCACCTAATAATGCCACTCTTTGGTTTCAATATGCTTTATGGAGTTGAAGGAAAAGGGGTAGAATATCAGTTGGTACACTGGGAAGTAAACATAACCCTAGAGATGTATCGTGTACAGGAACATGTGGAAGAAAACCCTTAATTTTAAAGAATTATATGGTTAAATTATTTTGTGAAACATTGTTCTCCACTACTTACTAAAATAGAAAATAGTTCTAGTGTTTTAAAATTGTTTCTTATTTTTTAAATCTCTACATTTAACTTTTCAAAAGTAAACTCTAGTTTAAGAAGGCAAAGCAAGTTTTTCATTGTCAGCCGTGCACTAGAGCAAAGAAGATACATACACATTTTCTAATGGAAGAGTCAGAACAACAATCTTTGTAAAAGAAAGCACGTGTTTATCATGCCGGATCCTCAACGGAAACTTCTAGAATTTTATCCTTCTCATCTGAACACTGATACCATCACATGATCCTCATTGGGGTATAAAGTTAAAGTAGATAAGCTTGGTATCTGAATTTTAGAGTTTTTCAAATTTCAACCTAAAAAAGTACATGCTGGTCTAATGAGAGCATGCCCTCCAGAAGTGGTGAAGAACTCGCCCTTTGTAGTCAAATTGATCTGGAATTGATCCAGACTATGCCAGTCCCTGAATTTATGACTTTCGATACCTTAATATATCTGCCAAAACCCTGGTTGCATCACTGAAAACACAAAGTACTAACATCTATGGAACAAGTTTTGGGGGAAGTTTATGCTACATGCTATATAAGTATTTGGAATATGTTTCTGATTATAAATAACACCAAAAAGTAACAAGACTTATTAAATTGTTCATGGTTTCTCTATCCATGCACTCATTTATTCATTCAATAAATATTTAAGGCCTATACACTCATTCACTAATTTACACATTGGAAGCCCTTCATCAACACCTATATGTAGCACATATTCTGTAGAATGTGCAAGTTTGAATGACACATGCATCTGCCTCAGGAGGCTCCTAATGCAAATGCAGAAGGCATGCATGCAAATGGGTGCTGAGGGGGGCTCCAAGTGAAATGGCCAAAGGGCCAGGCACACTCAAGTCTTCAATGACACTATATTGCATAATCAATGTTATAATTTAGTTACACAATAGTAAAGGTGGTAGGGACTGGATAGGTGATGTCCCTATCCCCTGTACCCATGCCCCAAATTGCAACAAAACAGAAATACCTGGGCTGTGACATCATTCGATGTATCAGAAAATGTACAGTCTTCTTATTCATATGAAGTAAATGTGTTTGCATGTGCTATGTAATTTATACTCTGAATGGAAGACATTGGACTACTTTATACCTGACTCTTCATTGTTTAAGTCTGTGCTCTCTGTTTCTAATGCCTTTGGAGTTGTACTACCCTGAATGTATTTACCCTACACTCACATACGTTTCCAAGACCTCTTGTCATCTAGTAAACATTGAACAAATTATAATACCAGAAAAACTACCTAAGGGGATGCTTTCTATTAAAACGACTTGAAATTCTCAGCAAGTCATCACTCCTTAATATAAATTACAACTGTGTAGGACCTATTTAATACTGATTATTTCATAATATTACCAAGTAAATGTTTTCCTCCAAGTTATTAGTATTTATCTATTTTAAATAAATATTTGTAAGTATTCATGTTTAAGATACAAAACAAGTTCATATCACCCAGTTTACTTTTGTAAAGATCATTCATGAATATTACATTTGATGTTATTCTTCACATCTAAAATGCAAGTAAAATGTAAGCCTAGTGAACTCAAAAATCACAAGTATCCTACCAGTATTATTCCATCCTCATTTATGCATTCTTGGAACTGATACTTACCAGCTTACAACTTTATGGATTCGTTGTGCAGATAACCATCTTTAGACAACTTGCAAAGTAACTCATATAAAATATGTCATGACCACTGTATAGTTGTAACACTAAGACCCAGGATAATGAGAAACACTAAAGAATCTCTTTCAGGAAACTACAAATTGTAGAGTCCATAAATTTAGACAAGGAAATTAACCCCTTTCAGAATATGTCTCTAAATGTCGGACTCTATAGTTATAAGCCACTTTTTAAATGAGAGGAATTACCAGTAAAATAGAAATGACATTTTAAAATATTTAAATTCAAAGGAAAATCTTTAGTTCCGCAACTTTTTTTTTGCTCTATGCTAGCTTTCCTATCATAATGGAAATATTTTACTCCTTCATATGTTTTTGTACTTCTTATTTTTAGGAATTGCAGGTGACTGGAAGAATCACTTCACAGTGGCCCAAAATGAGAAATTTGATGCCATTTATGGGAAGGAAATGTCTGGAAGCACACTGCAGTTCCGCACCAACTACTAGAGAACATCAGCTGCAATTCTGAAAAAACTAACCTGAAATTCGTTGACACAGGGCAGTTATGACTTGACTTGGGCAATCAAACGGGTTTTTAAAGAACCAGACATAATTTTAGAATTTTGATTTTTCAGTGTCATTGTTTAGTTCCCAGTTTTGCTTCTGACTCTGAAAATCTTCATTCTGTAAAGTTAAGGCCAATCATTACCTTTTTGTAAACTGTTCATGCCTTTTCCTAGACTACTACTGGCAAGAAAATATTTTAGGCTACCCGATTTCCATCTATTTTGGCTGAAAATGAAGTTTTTCTCCCTGTTACCATGGCCCAGGAAATTTGTAAACTGACACTGTATTTCCTAGCTCTGCCCCAATTTCCCTTTGCTGAGTATTTGATTCTGGACACTCTGTCCCACTGCTGTCTCTGGGTTTCAAGTTGTTCCCTGAGTCATAGCTCATGTTCTTGCAAACTCTCTATTGTGATAACATGGTTCATGTCCCAAGTCATGTGGTTCAGACTTTGGAACTTTTTATCCCTAATCTGATTATCCAAATTTCTAATCTCTGAATTTCCAAAGGTGAAAGGTTTACCTGAGTCTCCTTTGTACTCTTCTTCTCAGGCAACAGGAGTTCTACCCTGAGAGCCTGACTGAGGACTGGAACCTGTTCCCTGGGGAGACCACTTCCCACATCCAACCTGACTGTTATGAACTGCTGAGAATTGCCCAGTGTTGTTCACTGGTCTCCATTTAGGGGATTCAGTTTATTTGTTCTTGCTTCCAGTTCCCTGGGCCCTTACTTGTTCTGGAGACAAGTTCTGACACATGACCACCCCCTGAGCCACAACTGAGATGGCTACAATAACTTGGGTTACAATATTTTTATCCAGGGTGAATCTGTGCTATAGGCCTCTGCACCAGTAATAGCTCCTCAAGCTTGTAACTCATCTTTCCCAATGCCAGTGGAGGACTGATCCAATGCCAAGTGCAAACTTCCAAGGAGTGATATGTTTGTGATTCTGGAGATAGTTGAGAGTTATTATCTATCATTTACATTCAAATTACTCAGGGAATGAATTTGTGTTTATGCTTCTTAGACACATGTTTAGTAGTAGTTAACCTTGAATAGCTCAGGGTATTGTGAATCAGTTTCAACTTTCTAGAACACTCTTGTGAACAAGGAGGTAAAGCCAATCAGGTATCCATTTTAATTATTATCTTTCTTAACAATAAACTAATGTGGTACAAACTTGTGATATTATGGTCTGTTTTTGAAAAATAATTAAATGTCCCTAAAGTAGCTTTTTATCTGTGTACTAAATTGGCTGCATTAACTGCCTTCACTAACAATATGAAATGATTTCCACTTTCCTTAGTTTTTCTTGGTGACATATATTTCTGAAACTGCACTTTGTTCAAAACATTTAAGAGAGTTTTAGCTGTATCCCAGGTAGTTTTATAGGTACTGGATATAAATTGGAGAAAAAATAGAATTTAGATTTTCTTTTAACATGTTGTTGCCTCTTGTTCACTTTAAATCTATTACAAATGACAACACCCTGGTTCACTCGCCTGAGCTCATGGGCCACTCCACACAGTAGAACTCCAACTGGAATTCCAGCTGCAGGGGTACCTATTATTCCTTAAAATCATTCAGTGAACTGCCACCAAGCTACTTTTCCTAAAATGATAAATTTATCATTATTTCTCTTTTTCAGAAGTCATTGGTGCAATTTTTAAACAAAACCACTTATAATAACCCTCATTTCTCTTTTCTTAAACCATAGACTGTAATTTAAGGACAGTGATTATAAGTAGCTGGCAATGATGATTACTGTCTCATTCATGGAGCCTCACTAAGCAAGTCAAGGAATTGTTCTTTTAAGAAGCCAAAGTGTGGCTTAATTTTTTTCAACATCACATTCAAAGCAAGTGCCAGAATTGGTTTAGAGTACCTATGTAATAAGTACCAATTGTGACTCTTGTCATTATTGATGAAAGTAAAAGAGCCAAAAAGTCTCCCAAGAGAACAATAGTTTGGATTCTCCTTTAGTGACTCACTTAAACTTTAGAAAACTGAATAAACAAGATGTTTGTTTTCTTATCTGTAAAATTAAGTAATTGGTTTGTGTCTCTTCCACATTGTAAAGTTATCTGGCTTTATTTTATATGTGCTTTGTGACAACCATAATTAAACTGTATTCACCTGTGTAAACATGTACACACGTGTATAAGAAAATGCATAATACATGTATTCATTTGTACACATCCCATTGGTTCTGTTTTTTTAGTGAGTTTTGTACATATTCTAAGCCTTTTGCTATTCTACATTTCCATGAAAGTATTGTACTAGGTCCTTGGATTGTCCCCAGTTATAATATAAGGATTGTGAACTTCCAATTGCTTGGAAGCCACTTAAAACTGTAAGATTCCTTCTCCATAACTCTTCTATCAGGTCAAACAGTTGCTCAAAGCACTCAACCTCTTATGCCAACATCTACTTACAAGGAGGCCAATACATTGCCGTATCTCCTTGTCCTCTGTCCTATTAAACACTCTGTGAAACTCATTCTGAAAGATACTCCTGAGTGAGATGGAAAATTTACCTAACAGTAGTGGGAATCAGGTGACCAAGTCAGAATTCTAATTCTAGGGCATCATTCCAATTGTCTGGTGATTTTAAAATTTTAGCTTGTAGTGCCTTGGAAAGAACAGCAAAATGACTTTACCAACACTTTGTATAGTCTTTAATTACTGATGCTACATTTTCACTTATAGAAAATTATTTAACCTGACAAATACTTCACAAGTTGAGAAAATTAAAGTGCTGTTAATTAAGATCTACTGTTTCCAATTAATTGTTTCTTGCCAACAGTTTTTCATTGTGTACTTTAAATAACTTTTCTTTAAAACTTTGGGATTTATTATTGCACGTTCCATCAGGCACTTACACTTAGTGCTAATGTCAGCCCATATGATGACATGGGTTAAACCAGTTTTATATATTTACTTTTAGAGAGAGGTGGAAGGAGGAAGAAAGAGAGGAAGAGAGATGTCAGTGTGTGGTTGCTTCTCACATGCCTCTCACTGGGCACCCAACCAGCAGCCCAAGCATGTACCCTTACTAGGAATCCAACCAGCAACCTTTTGGTTCACAGACCAGCACTCAAACCACTGAGCCACACTAGCAAGGGCTAAATCATATTTAGTTTTTATTAGCATTGTATTATTTCACAATGAAGAACATTCAAGTAAATTCAGACAAGAGGTATAATTTTACAGTCCTAGCAATTCATCCTCAATGTCATATCTTCTCTTTTCCATATCCTGTGTAATTATAGACCAATCACCTTTACTTAACACTTTTTAGATAAGTTGAGAGAAAAGTACCAAGAGCTTTGGAGTTCTAAGGACAGATATTAGTCATCATGAAATTTAACCCTTGAAAGAAAAGATTATACCAAATAAACTTTATTATTTTAACAGATTACACAGGCCTTGAAGAAAAAGGGAGATGAATAAAATTTCCATTTACTAGACCTCAGTTAGACTTTGATTTTCATCATCCAGATTTATTCCCAGCTAAATCCAGAGGTTTATGGATTATATTTCAAGGAATTCCTGGGGTCTCTAAATGTTGCTCCAGAGGCTGCCAAGAGACTAGAGGTATGACAATAGAGGTGATAAGCAACTGGACTCCCTCTCTAGTTTAAGTACAGCAGCTGTACTTTTTTTGTTTTTAATAAACTTTTCATCTAGAGCAGTTTTAGATTTTATGGAATTATTTGCATGAAAACACAGAAGGTTTCTGGGTACTCCACACCCAGTCTCCCCTATTATCAATATTTTACATTAATTTGGTACATTTGCCACAATTAATGAACAAACATTGATATATCACTATTAACTACAGTCCAACCATTATTTAGATTTCCTTCATTACATAATATCATTTTTCTCTTTCAGGATCTCATTCAGGAAACTACCTTACATTTAATTATCTTATCTCATTAGCTTTTCATACTTGTGAAAAATTTTCATACTTTCCTTGTTTTTCATCACCTTGATATTTTTGAAGAGTTGTCTATTGTGGTTGTGACCAGTGTGGCTCAGTTGGCTGGGTATCATCTGCAAAGCAAAATGTCACTGGGTCAATTTCCAGCCCGGGCACATGCTCAGGTGGTGGGTTCAATCCCAAGTCAGGTCATGTACCGTCAATGTCTCTCTCTCCATGGGTGTGTCTCTCCCTCGCTTTCTCCCTCCACTCCCCTATCTCTAAAAATAAAGAAAGAAAATATTTTAAAAACATAGCTACCTATTTTGTAAACTGTCCCCCAATTAGAATTTATGTGATATTTTTCTCATGATTATCCTGGGCTCATGTGCTTTGGGGAAAAACACCATAGAGTTAAAGTACCACTTTCATGACATCTCATTGAAGATATACACTAACTCTATGGCTTGTCACTTCTGATATTGACCTTGGTCACCTACTTTAAGTAGTACGTTTTCAGGTTTCTCTACTACAAAGTTACTCCTTGTTTTGGTTTTTCTTTCCATATTATACATTTGGAAGATAATCACAGTCTACAGCTTTCTCTTAAGAAGCAGGTTTACCTCTGAAAGGTGGAGTATCGGCAAAAATTATTTAGAATTTTTTTGCTTGGAATATTTTTTCAATTCTGCATTTATTTATTTACATATTTACATAAAATGTATTTGTGCCAGTAAGAACTTTTAAATATTCATTTTACAGTTTCAGTTATAGGTTTGTAACACTGTATTTTCTTGCTCAATTTTTTGCACTTTTGTGTACTGGGAGCTCTTTAATTTCTTGTTCCATTTTGTTAGATGGCTTCAAAACACATATATATTTCAAAGTTTACTGAAGTCAGTGAAGTTTCTGGCTTTATTAACATAAGTCCAATGTATAATATAAAATTTAATAGTGTGTGTGAACTAATTTTCATATTTTATATATTGTTAACATTTATACTGATCATTTATTAGATGTCAGACTTTCTTGTAGAAGTGTTAATATACTTGTTATAAAGTAAGGAAACTCAAGCTTTGAACTAGGCTTTGAATCTAGCTCTAACTCCAAAATGTCATTCTTAACCTCTATATGACAATATACCAAATTACCATATTTTTGGACCATAAGATGCACTTAGGTTTTAGAGAAGAATAGAAAACAAATTTTGAAGCAAAAAATATGGTAAAATATTTAATAACATAAATAACATATTATTTCATCAGTGTAAATATAAACAGAACTCAATAGCAGAATTAACAACCATTATTCCTCCTAAATTTGGGAGTGCATCTTATAGTCTCAAAAATATGGTATATATAAATAATCTCCTTCAGAAATTAGATTCTCTCTAAAACACTACCATAAACATAGTTGGGTCATGGTGTCCAGGCTGACAGTGTTGAGGTTCCAAACTCTCTCCACTGTCAGAGCCCAACTGTTGCAGGGATGCTGCCTCCAAACCTGTGAAGATCAGATTTCTGAATGTTTCCTTCTATCAGCTGTATTACATTGTTCCTTGCTAGTTAAATAAAGATTTCAATATTGTAGTTCAAGCTCATCTAAGTTAATGTAAATTTTAAGTGTTGATTAGAAAAGTTACTAATTAAGAAGAAATATCTCCATTAAAATTCATAGAGTCCAAATAAATGACTAATGAGAGTTTCTTTGAAATGCAGCCTATTCACAAGATGAGAGGACTGACTGTACTCTGTCCTGTTCTCTCCTGCTCAGGGAGGAAGAGAACAAGCTGTAATAAATCTTATGGAGAAACTTCCCATGCAGTTTTGAATATGGGAGAAAAAAGAGAAGATAGAAGAAATTATTTTTTCACAACTTGTATCCTCTATATCCCCTCCCTCCCTCTAGTCTTATTAGCAGGAGTATGAAACTTCCTGAACTTACTGAAAACATATGCCAAAAAACAAGATTCTTGGGGTTTTCCTTGGAGATTCTGATAACATAGCTTGGGATGGGGTGCCCCAAATTATGCAGTTTATGTAAACACCATAGGGGATTCAATGGCTCTACTATCTATTGCTATTTCCAAATGATGAGGATGAACTAATCTGCTTTACAAATAACTGTCAAGTAGACACATAGATGGACACATAGATAGCTATCTAACTGAGTAGATGAATAGAGGAATGATATATTGTTGGTAGATAGATAGATTAGGTAGATAAATAGACATAATGGCTTACATATACCCTCTGTTTTTACTGATTAAATTTAGATTTGGAAATTCAAATAAATAAATAGAACTTCTAAAACTTGATGAAAAATGAGAAAAGGAAGTCTAGCGAATAATAGAACTCATTTTAATCCAATTCTGCAATGAGTTTTAAATAAAAAGAAATGGGTGGCTTTTCAGTACGTGACCTATTCATTTGCTTAAAGAACTGGTGTAGATTTGGTTTCATTGAGAATGTTCTTGCTTATCTTGGGGTCAATTATACCTTTCATTGGCTAAAAGATAAATTTTTAAATAGATTACTGTGCGGGAAAACTATACTCTGATATTGTTTTGCTTGAAATTTCTTAGAGGATTTTATTTATTTATTTTAGATAGAGGAGAATGGAGAGAGAAAGAGAGGGGAAGAAACATTGATTGGTTGCCTCTTATACACCCCCAACTGAGAAACTGGCCCACAACCCAAGCATGTGCCCTGACTAGGAATCAAACCAGTGACCCTTTGGTTCATAGGCTGTCACTCAATCCACTGAGACTCAACAGCCAGGATGTTTTGCCTGAATTCTTATTGACATATTTTGGGGTCTTAGTTTTAAAGCACACTGGGTCTCTGCCACAAAGCCAAAACCCAAGGAGAGTAACCAGAAAATGGCAGGAATGTATAATAAAGTAATGACACATGAAGTGAATTCTTTTCAAAACAGCCTAATAGTGAAGGCACAGTACTTGTGTGGTACAAAACTTCTATCCCGATCCCTGAATTTCCTTTTATCAGTATGATTTTACTTGTATTTTGAAGTGCAATATACACACAGACTAGTTTACAATCTTAAGTATCCACATAAATCTTCCCATGTGAACATGTCTGGGTAACCAGATCCATATCATCAGAAACAGAGCAACACCAATATAGCAGAGTCTTTCCCTCCCTTGTACCCTTTCCCAACCAGTATCCCCAACAATGAAACTGACAATCCTGATTTGAACACCAAATATTAGGTTTTCCTTTTTTGAAATTCATATTAATGGAATGATGTGGATGGATTCTTTGACTTTCTGACTTTTTTCACTCAACACTGTAATTGGGAGATTTATCCACATTGCATGTAATTGTACTTTTTCACTTTAATTACTATCTAGTATTCTCTTGTGGAAATATACCAATATATATTTCTTCTTGATGGTCATTTGAAGAGTTTTCAGTTTGTTTTTTACCAAAATTACTATTATACACATTCTTGTTCATATTTTTGGTATGTAGATTTTTGGTACATTCATTTTTTAGTTCAACTTAAAGGTTAAATTACTAGGTAATATGATATGCTGATATTTAAGACACACCACCAAGGAGTTTTTCAAAGTAATTATATGATTTACAATTACAGTAGCAGTGGATGAAAGTTTCAGTCCCACATTCTCTCCATCACTTAGTACACTATGCAATTTTCACTTTAGTCATCCTGGTGTGTATCACACTATGGTTATAATTTACATCTCCTTGTTATCTAATGAAGTTGAGAAACTTGTCATGTTCACTGGTCATTTGAATATCTGTTTTTGTCAAGTACCCATTCAAGTTTCTTGCTTATGTTCATAT